TATATATAAATGTGCCTTTTTGGATGTTGGGAATTCTCAGTGAAAACTTGAAATTGATGTTTGTCATCCTTCAATCATTCAGTGTTCACACAGTAAACACCTGCAAGTCCACCCATCCACCCTCCCCTGGGGCAGCTGCGTGGGAATGTCGCTGTGCAAAGGACAAGAGGAGCAGCTGATACCTGCAGGATTCACCTTTCCACTCCATTTCCATGTGGCTCCCACAGGTGAGAAGCAGCACAGAGAGCCACAGCAATGGGAAGGTTCAAGGACCTGCAGCACACTCCTCCCCATCCTGGCTCTGCCGTTCCCATCCTGTTTGCCTGGAGCACTGGGATTACCCTCGATGCTATCAGTGCTAGGGAGAAGGTTTCAGATCCAGCCAGTGCAGAAGTTCAGGGATGCAGTAATTAGCAGAGCGATTGTAAAATGCAGTAGTTAGGGCTAATTGCTGCCACAGATAAATACAAGGCAGAGTGCTTTTTATTCCTCCCTCAGTGCAGAGATGGCTGATCCAGAGTTTGCTGGGAGCAGGGAGCATTTCCCCTTGTCCCTGTCCTTGAGGGCAGGATAAGGCAAGGGGGAATGGCTTTAAGATGAAGGAGGGTTGATTTAGATTAGATATTAGGGATTGATTCTACCCTGTGAGGGTGGTGAGGCTCTGGCACAGGTTGCCCAGAGAAGCTGCTCTGGGTAGAGCATGGCAGTGTGGTGCTCCTGTGATGCTCTCATCTGGCAGAAGCAGCTCTTGAGAGGTTTGGGAGATCTGTGTCATGACATGAGAGGAGAAACTCAGCTTCATGGAGGGGCCCAGGTGGGATTTTTAGGGCCCCGTTTAGCTGGTTGCTGGGGCTGTGGGAGGAATCCCTCTGGGAATGGGTGTGATGCACTGCTGCCCCTTCCTGCTCTGCATCACGCCCTACACCAGTCACTACCACCATCCCTTCCTCACTGGGACAGTGTCAGGGGGCTTTGGTGCATGGAATTACTTATGAACAGACTGTAGAAGAGACATATTTACTTAATAAATAAATACAAATAACGTATGGCAGATCCTAGCATGAACTACAGCACTGCTGATGCTGTGAGGGAGGCCAAGGTCTGGGACTGGAGTTCTTGGCTGATGCTGGTTCAGCTTAACACTCTGAGGATTTTGGCCAGTGCTCACCAGGCTGGCCCTGGATAACAGGACTGATGGTGCAGTCTGGAATTGCTTGAAGGCATGTCAGAAGCTACAGACTTAGATGGATAGATACGTTAGTGCACAGTATCCAGGGAGGTTTTGCCTTGGAATACCTGGGGAAGCAAAGCGTGCCTTTCTTGGGATCCTTGGGGTGCCCTGGGCGTGTCTCTGGGTGCCTGCCCGGGGCAAGTCTGTGCCCCCCAGGGGCTGCAGTGTGGTCAGGGCACTCCCTGGCAGAGAGCAGAGGGCAGGGGCAGGCAGGGGACCAGTGGGCCTTGGGAGGGTGTGGGGCTCTTCCCCTCACCTCTGCAAAGCTTAGTGCAGAGCAGAGGAGCTCTGCTTTGGCTAGTTCTGGTAAAGCCTTGACCTAAAGCTCGGCGCTCTCACGAGCTCTAAGGAGGAGGTGGCGGTTGGGTTTTTGGGATTTGGGATCCTCTCTGAGCCTCTGGGATGGGGTTTAGTCAGCTGAGACAGGCAGTGGGAGGAAGAGGATTGCTTTCTGGCCGTAGTGAGTCCGCGGCCCCAGCTTGCTGTTCCCGTTCTTCTTCAGCCCCACAAACCAGTTCTTGTCCGCGTGCTTTTTGGAGACATACGTGTTGTAATGGTTTTCTTCGAGCCTTTCCAGGAACAGGCACTCCTCCCCCAGTAACTGCTGAAAGAGAGCCCAGGGAATGACAGTGAGCCAGGGCAATGCCATGGGGATGGGGATCCTAATCCCAGCGTGGATGCTCCCTGATAGGATGCTGCCCATGCCCAGCTCCCAGATCTCCATGCCTCAGGGAAGTTCACACTCAAAGCATGGAGGTAAGCAGCCTTGATTTAGTCCCTTGGGCTACTCCTGCAGTACTGTGTCCCTGACCTGGGTGTTCTGTCCTGCAGTGACTGAGCCCAGCCCCAGGGGCCATGAGCTGGTCCTGGCCCTGCCTCCTGCTCTGGCACTGAGCTCAGGGGTGGCAGCTGCAGGCTCAGAGCATAGAATCACAGAATGGTTTGGCTTGGAAGGAACCTTAAAGATCCCCCAGTTCCACCCCTCTGCCATTAGCAGGGACACCTTCCACTAGGCCAGCTGGGAACTGCCAAGGGGCTGCAGAGCAGCTGCTGCTCCAGGTATGAAGCACAATATTTACCAAGTGTCAGATAGGAAATTCAATATTTGTCAGAGGTAAATGGCGATATCTGGTTATTTATTTATCCCCCCAAAATAAAGCCAGATGCAGAGTGGCTGTCCAGCTGCCAGAATCACAAACAGAGCCTAATTATTGCCTGTGGTTTGCATTACTCAGAGCTACGAGATTTCTGCAAACCACAAACCCTCTCCACGTCTGGTCCCGCGGGATCCTCCCACTTACCGAGCCGTAGAGCAGCCCGTTGGTGTCCATGGCCAGGTACTGCCCCGACTGGGTGCTCTTTATGTACACCTCTCCCACGCTTTCCGCACTCAGCTGCAGCTGAACTGCAAGCAAAAATAAAACAGCAACAGTAAAAGGAAAATAGGAAAAGGGGGAGGGGGAAAAGAGCTGCTAGGAAGGTTATAGGGAGTTTAGTTCTGAAGTCTGGCTTAGAAAGA